CCCCAAAACCCCAAAACCCCAAAACCCCAAAACCCCAAAACCCCGAATGGAATTTAAAAAATTGATAATTTAAAATTAACTACAAAAAGTGACAAAATGTCTTGGAACAGAAAACATAGGCTATTTAGCTCATTTAACTGTGAGAATAAGCGTAAGAGCACTCAGAAGGAGAACTCAGCACTTCGCTCCGTGGAGAGCACAAGGAACCAAACTACTCAAATGAGATCCTTCGGGAGGGATATGAGTAATATCCCGATGTACCGGAAGGATAATAAGATGCCCGCTGATGGATATAATCAGAAAAGACTTGTCCCTAAAGCAGAATCCTGAGAGAGAGCGAAGAGAGCTGCTTCCGTATCTGGGAATCAGCCTAATAAGCAATTCCTCTCCAAAAGAGGCTCTAATACTTTGAAGACTTTGAGTAGGAGTTTAATTTTTAAATTTAAATAGGAGCGAAAAATTACAAAAATAATGCATCAGGAATGATTACATATTTGCCGAACTTGCATAATGTTTCTGGAGCCTCAAATTCATCGAAAACAAGAGCTGGGTCTAACACCTCCACACATAATAAGGTAGCAAGGATCATGCAAAAGAATAAAATGCCTCAGATGAACAATGTCATCACAATGAGCAAAGAGATGGTATCAACCAAGGTGAACGGGCTCGGTAATTTGAATGTTGTCAAGAAAAACATTAAGACTAAGAGGAGTGGCACTGGGACCCGCCAAGATAGCAAATCAAGCTTCGCTTCTGATGTGAATGCACCTCCGAAAGCTTTCCTGTCAACACACTCTAGAGATGGAAGTTCGAACAAGAAGAGAAGGATCCAAAGCCATACCATTTTCTCCTCCAATCAGAAAGGCCAGGGTATGAATAACTCTTTACATTCAACTTGTTCAGGAAATAATAGTGCAATGAAGCCTGAAGATAAGTTGAGAAGGTTCAAGGCTAAAATGGAGAGAATTCTGGCCACTAATATTGATGCCAGAGATAGGAGCGACATCGAAGATCCTCTCTGATGAGTTGAGTACGTCAATGACTGCTGTGACCACATGCTGAAAACTGAAGGTCTCTTCCTTCCTACTTACGGATACATGAAATCCCAGCCAGATATTAATGATAGAATGAGAGGAATTCTGGTCGATTGGCTCATTGAAGTTCATCTAAAGTTCAAACTAGTCCCTGAGACTCTGTTCTTAACCATTAACCTGATAGACAGGTACCTTGAGATCGAAAAGGTTAAAAGAGACAAACTTCAGCTTGTCGGAGTTACTGCAATGCTTATAGCATGCAAATATGAAGAGATTTATCCTCCTGAGATCAAAGACTTTGTTTATATTACCGACAATGCTTACTCTAAGAAAGAGATAATGGATATGGAATACAACATGCTCAAGAAATTTGAATTCAACGTTACAGTAATCTCTTCCTACAGGTTTATTGAAAGGTTCACCAAGTTAAGCCAAGATAATGAGGCGATGTTCTTTCTGGCACAATACATGCTCGAGCTGGCGCTTATTGAGTATAAAATGATCAAATACAGACCCTCCATGCTCGCCTCTGGAGCTCTTTATCTGGCTCATAAAATTATGGGGAAATCTGACTCTTGGCCTCTTAAAGTAGAGCAATACAGTGGACTTAAAGAGAAGGATGTCAGGCCCTGAGCTAAGGATATGTGCATCTTGTTACAAGGAGTAAACTCATCATCCCTCAAAGCAGCAAGGAAAAAGTTTTCTTTGACTAAATTTGGAGAAGTGGCTAAGATCCAAGTTGAATCCTAGTTTGCCAATTAAGTTCTTAACTCAAGAAATCAACCTTATATAAATCCTTAATTTATATAGTTGAATTCTTCAACTCATGAACCTGAATGCGGGGTTTTGGGGTTTTGGGGTTTTGGGGTTTTGGGGTTTTGGGGTTTTGGGG